AGGGCTTATCCCCTTGATATCAGCTACAGTCCATCCGATCGCTTCCTTGCATTCCTTAAGTGCTTGAATCAGTTTCCTCTCTTCCAATGCATCGAGTTTGGAAGAAACTATCACGGGTAATGTCTCCCCCTTGCCTAGGAACATGTACTTAAGGTGCTTCGGTAATGATTTCAGCTCCAGCTRGGGTGCCTGCACAATAGATGGAAGGAGTCTTGTGTGAGATATGGGCAAACTAATGAAAGAAGAATTATGAGCAAATTCAAAAGAGTTCAGTTCAAAAGTCAAAGTTTGTAGTTCTGAATTCAGCATGAACTTCTTCTTTGCTCGTTGCAGTCGATCAGGCCCATTGTTAAGTGCTACTCTCAGTGTGTCTTCATCATCTAGCTCAAAAGTTTTCTGCACTAAAGAGTCAACAACGTCTATAGAAAAAATGGAATGCGCATCATTAGGGTATCTCATGGCATCATAGATATTAAATTTAATAATTTCACCATCGAATTCCATGGTAGGTGTCCCCTTATGCACATCAATTTTTATTTTGGATGTCTTAAGAAAGGGTCTTCCCAGCAAAATTGGAGTCAAGTTGGAAGAATTATCTTCTTCCGTGTCGATCACATAAAAATCGGCAGGAAAGACCAAATTATTAACTTGGATTAGAATGTCCTCCAAGATTCCCTTCGGGTATGTAGTAGATCGATCAGCAAGCTGTAAGATCACACCCATTTCTTTTAATGGTCCGAGATTCATGGTTGTGTAAATAGAATGGGGCATGACATTAATCGAAGCTCTTAGGTCTAGCATAGCTTTTTCAATCTGGACATTTCCTATTTTACAGGGAATGGTGAACATACCTAGATCTTTGCATTTAGGCGGTAGTCTTTTTTGGAGAATGGCTGAAACATTTTCTCCTATATGGACTTTCTCATCGCCTTTCAGCCTTCTCTTAGTAGTGCATAGCTCCTTTAGGAATTTGGCATAGCGGGGCACTTGCTTAATTGCATCAAGGAGGGGGATGTTTACCTCAACTTTGCGGAATGTCTCGAGAATGTCCTTGTCTTGCTCCTCCTTCTTGGATCTTGCGAATTGGCTAGGAAAAGGTGGAGCGATGACTATGGCTTGGGGTGGCTTTCTGCTTGAATCTGTTTGGGGAGATGGTGTCTCCTTTTTGGTTGTATCCTTGGATGCTTCTTGAGTGGGTTCATTCAGCTCCTTCCCGCTTCTCAATGTGATAGCGCTAGCATTCTGTTTTGGGTTGGTCATGGTCTGGGAAGGTAGCCTCCCTGATGATTGGAATTCCATTTGACTCATTGTCGTTGCTAACTAGCTAACCTGATTCTCTAGGTTTCGGATGCTTGTCCTCGTCTCCTGTTGAAATTGTTGAGTATTAGTTGCAAGGGCTTTCACAATTTCATCGAGAGACATACATGGATTGGAAGAGGATGAATATGGTGGAACCGGCGGCCTAGCTTGATGTTGATGTTGGAAGCCGAAGGTCCTGGTTCCATAGTTAAGGTTGGGATGATCCCTCCATCCTGCATTGTAGGTATTTGAGTAGGGATCGTATCTATTTTGCGGGAATCCTCCAACAGCATTAGCTTGTTTGTAAGGTTCATCTTGAAGCGTAGGGCACATGTCAGCTGAATGTCCCGGAGTTAAACAAATCCCGCAAGCCTTCACCATTTGTGTATTACCTATGGCCATTTGACAGACAAGGGAGGTCAAGCTTGCAATTTTTTGTTCTAGGGAGGAGATGTTTACCTCGTTAGCATGGGTTGCTAGAGGGTTGAGCCTATAGCCGAACTATTTAGAGTTGGCAGCCATGTTTGAGATCAATTCTCTTGCTTGTGTAGGAGTTTTGTTCACCAACACTCCTCTGCTTGCTGCATCGATCATACTCCTATCCATTGGTAGTAACCCTTTGTAAAAATATTGGATAAGGACCTGGTCTGGAATTTGATGTTGCGGGACAGCTGGCACATAGTTGCTTGAATCTCTCCCAGTATTTGTAGAGAGTTTCCCCACTGAATTGTCTTATGCCACATATCTCCTTTCTGATGTTAGCCGCTCGGGAAGTAGGGAAGAACWTCTCAAGGAATTGCCTTTTCATATCATTCCATGTGGTGATGGAACCGGTGGTTAGATAGTAAAGCCAATCCTTAGCTTTATCAGCTAATGAGAAAGGAAAGGCGCGCAGTTTGATTTGTTCCTCGGTAACACCTTGAGGCTTCATGCTTGAGCATACTACATGGAATTCTATTAGGTGTTTGTGAGGGTCTTCGCCTGTAAGTCCATGAAAAGTAGGGAGTAAGTGTATAAGACCAGATTTGAGTTCGAAGGGTACCGCTAGATATGCATATTCGATGCAGAGAGGTTGTTGGTGCAGACCGGTGCAGCTAGCTCTCTAAGGGTTCTCTCTTCATTATTGGCCATGATTTCTTCTTCAGGATGGTTGGATGGCTCAACGATTTCTGCAGCCGACTTCACCTTGGAAGTTGGGAGTGATGCTGCTTGGTTGCAGCGTTGCTTGGCTTCTTTCCTCAAGTGGCAAACTGTGTTCTCGATCTCAGGGTCGTAGTGGAGTTCACCTACACGAGAAGAGAGAGGCATAAACCAAACAAAAGGAAATAAACCTACTTAGGATGCCAATCCCCAGCAACGGCGCCAAAATTTGGTGGGTGCCGAACCTAACCAAAGATAAATAGTCTTGCTCTGGGTTAATAATTTGCAGATAGTGATGAGCAAGGTCGTTCTCCACAGGGATTGGGTGGATTTATTTCCAAGTAGATGGATTAAGGGGGATTTGTAAAGCTAAGGAGAACAAGTAAATAGCAGAAAATAACA